GAGTGTGCGAAACCAACATGTGAAGAACATGGAGCAACCCTGCAAAGCCACCCTGGGTACAGGCAGCCTCTTCTATGTCTTTATAGACACTTCTAAAAAAAAAACCCCAAACTCCAAATCCATAAAAACCCACCCAAAAAAAAACTTCGCAAGTCACAAACAATTCAGGATTCAACTAAGAAAACACAGAGTGAACCATATGGCCGGGGTGGCTCGAGTTGGCTGCATTTTCCTCCAGACAAAGAAGGGATTGAGAGTTGAAGGAAAGGAGAAAAAAACCAACTTTCCGGCTGATGAAGCTGTTGTCTGGAGGCAATGATCCCAAATCTCAAGGCTTTATTCCAGGCTCCGACTGAGACGTGATATGTCATATGATTAGCATCTTTCATATTTACAAGAGTAGTAGGGGCTGCCAGTCTTTAGAGAAAGGCGAGAGAAAGAAGGGGCATATGCTGAAATGGATTTAGCATTTGAAAGAGAGAAAAGAGAGCGGATAAATACACTTAAACGAGGATTTAGTTTTACTCCCGTCGAGTTCTAATGGGCTGTTGATTGAGATTTTAGGGAGCTGTAACAGAGGTGTCAGCAGTAATTTAAAGGCGCTATTCAACCCGCCGCTGCTCCTTCTTTTTCCCCCGCTCCGAGCCCAAGCGCTCGTCCCTCCTTCTCCACACCGAGGAGAGGTGCCGGCCCCGGCTGAGTTCTGCCCCCGGTACCGGGGTCGCGGCGCCACCTGCCGGCGGCGGAGGCACCCAGCGAGGTTTAAAATTTGTCAATTTTGACTCCAAGGTCCCATGCAAGCGGGCCTTGCACACTTCCAGGGAAGGGGCATCCCCCTGGGCAACCTGTGCCAGGGCCTCACCACCTGCACGGTAAAGGATTTCTTCCTAATATCGAGTCTGAATCTTAATTTAAAACCGTTATCCCTTGTCCTATCACACCAAACCCTGCTAAATACAACACCTCCCCGAAGGATTAAATACAGAAGAGGTCATACACAAACACACTGTTACTGTTCCTTATGAAAAACTTGCCCTCTCACCTCCTTATCCCTTCTCCTTACTTCATCCTGGGCTAACCTGTCTCATCATCAGCTGACACGCTGGAAACCTTCTGTGCAGCATTTCCCCACAACTCTTTCTTTCCAGGGCCAACTGCATCACAAGCTCCTCACAAGGTGATTTATTTCCAAGCTGCATAAAAAAAAAAGCAGAATATTACTACGAATAACTGCAGTGCCACTAGGAGTGCCTACTCCGTGGCAGACTCTCCATCGGGCCTCTGTCTGCTCTGTTAAATATTTAAAAGCATGACAGAAATTTTTATATGTCCACGCTTAGCCCACTTCTCTGCAGTGTTTTTGCCTGAGCCTCCTTCTATAAACCTTGGACAAACTTTTGCCATGATGGAGTTCAAATTAATTTTTTTTTAGCTTCTGGCAGAACAGCACTCCTTGTTCCAAACCAGAATCATTCAGCTTTTTTGTAGTTTCAAAACACAGCTGAGGGATCTTATCCTGAAACCTGTAAAAAAAATTTAGCTCCAGGCCAATCCCTTTTTTTCTTCGAGAAAATTTCTTATTTTAATTGTTTCAGCCACATTCCTTTCTACACATCATTGATTTGTAAATATGTAAGATGACAGAACTGTAATAAGATGCCATGTTACACTTGTATCTAACCTGAAGAATAATGAAGCACAAAATGACAACTTGGTACTTTGTAAGCATAAAAGAAAATCAGTTATCAAACTGATCAAGTTACTTTATTGACTTGTAGTCATACAAACAAGGGGTCAAAACAGAAGTATCAGTGCACGGAGGGACGAACAAACATTTCCATTAAATACATATTAGATTGGCAGCCATTCTGATTTGGTTTTAAACAAACAATTCTTATTTTCTTCAAAAAACAAAGCTCACATTTTATTTCTCTTCTTTCTTTTTCCGATGCTCTTCCTTCCATTTCTCCAAGTAACACTTCAGAATATCATTTAGCTGCTGCTCACACTGGTTTCCATGCTGTAATCCATTTTTCCATCCTAAAAGCAGCAATGAACAGGACAATTACACCTCCCTTCACAACATAAACCACCATGTACTTGGTGTGTTGTGGTGCAAATACTTGTTTCCCCAAATCTATGAAATTACTACAGTACTTCTACTTTGAAAACTATTCTTCAGAGTTTGAGTTTGATGTCAGGCAAGCAGGTAAATAAAAGGGTTTGGTACCTATTCTTGCAGTTATTTGTTACCAGTTGCTTTATGAAACTGAGGAGTATCAGCTAAGCTAAAATGCCCTACTCTCTCCAAAAAAGGAGGCCTCCATGGGTACTAGGGAGTAAGAATCAGCCAGATTTTATTGAATGTACTTCAGAGATTTGGACACTATTCCTTCTCTCACTTCCCTAGTTCAAATGAAATCATCACAGAAGAATTCATCATGAAATGACTTGAAGAATTTTGCTTTGAAATACTCTCTCGTCAGAAGTCCTGCTATGTTCAAGAGTTTTTTTTGTAACTGCCTGGGCCTACTACATAAAAGCAAACTGGGAAAGGATGAGCACTGGGTTTCAACTCTTCTTACTAGCGTCCTCTTTACGCAGTGATGCAATGGCATCAAAAAGAGATCAACATGTCCAATTACTGGATTCCAGTAATTGGACAACAAATATCCTTCAAATGTGAAGACAGTGTGCAGATAAAACTGCAAACGTGCACCTTGCACACTTGCATTTTCCTGCAATATACTACATATTATATAATGTAATACATATAAGTACATATAATATGTGTAGTACTAAGTCTATTAAACATATTTTTTTAAATATGAGCTGCATGGTCTCAAAAATCCAGAAGAAAGCATTACCTTTGCAGTGGTGAATTACTTTTCCCCACAGTCTGTTCCTACTTAAACAGTCCAGGTTGCCAACAATCAACAAATGCCTCTTGGCTCTCGTCAGCGCGACGTTCATTCTCTTTTCTGAGTCTATGAACCCAACGTGTCTTGTCCTCACGCATGACAACACGACGATCTCTTTCTCAGCTCCTTGGAACGCATCCACCGTGGACACCTGGACAGCTTTAACTTCAAAAGCCTCCGAGTGCACCGTGCTAAGCAAATTCTGAATCTGCAGACAAACGAATAGGGATGGTGACAAGGTGGCCTCCTCCCGGTCAATCGCTTGTCTCGCACGCAACAAATCTGAGTCTATCCAAGATGAGAACTGAGAACCTAAGGTAAGGATATGCCTCTTCAACCTGTGCTTGTCACACATGCCAGTTTGCAACAGCTCCCAATTCTTTTATGAAAAACACATTCTATTTGAACACCCATTTTTCTCAGCGTGCATGTGGAAGGGAAACAAACGGAAAGACATTCTCTTTATCATGTGCTAGAAATAAATCTTTTTGACTCCGCTTAGAGGAGAAATATAATCCATTTTTTTTCATAAGGAAGCAATAATGACCTCTAGTTCACCAGTCCAGCATTTGTTTCTCACTTCTAGTTGAAACAGATCTTATGCAAGTAGATTGACGAAAACTGTTTTATCGATGATACATTATACAAACCTTACACATCTGTGATTTATAAAGAGTAATGACACCAATTGCAGATCCTTCTATTCCACTGGCAAGCAGAGACTGGAGGAGCTTGACTGTGAAATGAACCTCTGCCATGTTATAAAAGCTGTTGTCTCTTTCCATCTGCAAATAAAGAATATTTCCAGTTTCTCTCTCACAAACAGAAGACAAAAATAAACTGAAGTGAGGAAAAACGACAATATTGCCTTTTGATATATAAGAAATGTTTTACAACTTACTTGCTCCACTCCATTCACACTATAAAAGCAGAGTGTTGGAAGCCAATCCAATAAAGGACTTCTGTCTTCCTCCGAAACACCATCTATCAGATTTCCTTCATAGAACAGCTCGTTGGCAACAGCACTGATAGCAGGGTGACATCGGTACTGCGTCCGAAGTAGCACTGCTTTATGTCCCTAAAGAATTATGATATAGAAAGCGTGACTAGGAAAAATAATTACTAAGTATTTTGTGACACCAGCTAGGTCAAAAAAGCAGCTGAAGCAATTTCTGCAGTAAATTGGCTTAAACTTCATACATTCACTTGAACAGAAGTTTGAACAAATACTGCAGCCTCCTGTTCTTCTACCTGGATTAAAAACTGCACAAAAACATCAGAAGGCAGAGTCTCTCATCGGTTTTCAATCCATTCTGGTTTTATATTTGTTAAACTTGCACATTTCTGTGCGCTGTGACAATAGCACCTACAGAGAAAGGCACTAGAAGGCAACCTTCTTAATTAAAATCCAGGCTGAAACACTGATCCTCCGACATCAAAATCAGAAATCTTGTAGGCACAGGAGTGGATCTACAGTTTCACCCTCCACCTTTTCTCACCACGTGGTAACTACTACATACCATCAAGCAAAGCCGGTCAAAGAGCGTCTGCTCCAACCCCTTTTCGTGAACGCTCTCAGATCCTTGAATAGTTGGCGGTAATTGTTTGGGGTCTCCAACAAGGACTAGCTTTTCACACTGAAACCTAAATACGAACATTTAAAAATATGAATACGAGTCCTAAAAAGGATGTCATACTACTCGTAATGAAAGCATGTGCAGTGTTTATTTATCAATGGCTGCTTTCCAGCAGCCTCCCTTCTCCACTGCCCTCTTTTCACAGTTAAAATAACTCCAGGAAGGCACCTGAGAGCAGGCCTCAAACGAAAAATCCTATTGTTGTTTTCCAAGTTGAGTCCTCAGAGTTCATGCTCTTAAGAAGACGTACAAGCTTGGCAATTATTTTTTTAGTTACTGCTAGAAGTTATTTCCCCACTGAATCACAAGAGGGAGGCTGTACCTCGCAATAGGAAGGAGGGAAGCAGGCTCAGTTATTTGACTGCACTCATCCAGCATCACCACAGGAAATTTCAGTGTATTCAGACAAGGGAACGGGCAGGCAGCACAGGTCACTCCAACCACTTTCACCTTGGTTAGCAGTAGGGGAAAAGGGGTAGACGAGAAGTTAAAATTGTGTGTAAGTTAATCTCTGTGCAGCTCATAAATATAGTTTCAGCAAGAGAATACACCTACATTAATTGCACTTTACTGTATCATACTCACTGGGGCTCAAAAAATATATTCAAACTACAAAGTTAGAAGTTCAAAGTTTTATCTCAGTATATATAAAGCTATATCTTAAGTGTGTATATATATGTCACATTGTAGCTCAGTAAAAGTCAGTCCATGCAGGCAGAGATCAATCCACGGTCACCTTTTCTTATGCTTGGGGTGCTTATGTTCAAATCCTTCACAGATTTGTATACTTTAAGGCCAGAACTGGTCTGGCTGAGAGAGACTTCATTATGAACAATCCTCCAAAAACTTCTGAGCCCCAGCAGCAAAAGTGGGAGCAATGACCACTAGGAATAAGCACAAGAATCCAAAAGCTCAGATCTGCTGTGTTACAGCTGCTTTATAACGAGCTAGGATTTTTTTTTGAGTCTAGGACTGAGAAGAAAAGGCAGATAGCTGGAAAAATTAAACATTGATATGTCACATTGACAATATTTTTCTATCTTAAAAAGCAATCCTTTGATGCAAAGTTATTCAAAATATATTTGAAATCTTCCTGGCAGCCGATACTCAACTCGAGAATATATTTAGCTCAATCCTTATCTTTTACCTTTATGACTACATAAATTTAGTTTCAAGGTGACCATGCAGACTAGACGTGCTCAGAACTTTTTCTCTTCCCACCTTGTTAACTAGATCAGTGATATTAAACAGGATTGCAATGAAGTTCAAAATGAGTTTGTCTCACACCACTGAACAGGAACTGCAAGTTCAACTCAGAGAAGTTCAACACAGATAAGACACTAAGCTTCACCTGCAGAATCCAACATGTTCTACTTGTAATATTTGTGGGTTTTATACAAAACTAGGAGCTTGGCAGCTGTGAGAGGGGGTTCCCACCTGCCCTTTGCTGTGCCTCGTGGCAACAATGTAGTGAATCCCCACTTTCCCACTGTGTCACTTGGACTGTACCTGTTGCAGTATAGTTTTGTTGGTCCCCAGCTTATGTTGCTCAATGCTCTTCTTCACGTAGACTTTTTCAGCTGGAGTTAAATCTTCTTTCATAAGAGCAAGCAGCTCTTTTAACTGCTCATTTTCATTTCCTGAGCCAGCATGTAAACTTGAAAAAGATTTTATAACATGCATTACTATGGCTGACAATAACAGCACTTTCAGTGTTCATTGAACAGACCATTTAGAAAAATAAAAATCATACTTTATACACAAGAGTACTTGACAACCATGTACTGACCTATCCTGAATCCAGGTGAGATAAACCAGTACAAAATCCATTTCAAAAGAAGCTTTTAGGCCTTCAACTCAGACTCACCACTCCAACCAGACACATGTGACTGATTTCTCCAAGCACACAGCTGATGTAAGAAAGGAGTAGAAACAAGGAGGTGTTTTTCATTCTTAAACCCTTTTATAGCCTTGGTATGCTACTGACACCAAGAATGGAAATTTAATCTTGATTCATCTTGGAATTTTACTTTCTTCTCTCAAATTATGTTTAAAGTACTATGTAGATTGCTTACTTTGAAGTAGTTAAAGGACAAACCCCAGAACACCACAGCAAATGTAATTTGGTTAAGTAATACAGAATTCAGGAGTTGTTACCACTAGTTCTGACCATTATATTAAAGATTACTTGCTCCTAGTGCTTACAACTCCAGCAATACGTGTTTACTTCAAGTCTGTCTGGTTTGCTCCTCCTCCTTGTTACAGATTGCCTCCCAAATCTGTAACCATGATGATTTTGTTCTCTTCTACTTCACACTTAAAAGCATTAGCTACGAGTGACTTGCCCAAATCAAGGTACAATCTCTTCCCTGTGCAGGACAGGGAACTATGACACAGACAGGAAAATCCTGAGACAGGCCTATCACATTCACATTTGCAATTACTTCAAAACAGCAATTTTACAGCATGGACACTTGTGATCAAACTTAGAATCACCTCAGACACCTCAAAAGTTAAGTTTCTTACCTATGGGGAAGAATTGCTTTGGTGATTTTCCTGATACTTCCCACTCTGATAAAGTTGTCAAAGCCAAGGTCAAGTAGACTTCAAAAACAAAGAGAGGATCCATGTTACAAAAATGCAAAAAGATCTTTTGAGAAAAGACATGTAGGAACACTGCAGGACATAAACTTGGGCAATTAACAAGATGACTAACTCAGGCCACAATTCAAGTAAACGACCTCATCATGATTTGTCTCGCTAACGCTTAATGCCTTTGATTCTCCTCTCATGATGCCTTCTCTTGGTACTTTCCCCTCCTTCCTTTGTCCTTCAAAACACGAGTTTTATTTCATGTTGGCTTCATGCTGAAACTTCCCAAACCTGTCTCAGCTTCTCCCTGTCCCCCCATCCTTCCTTCCCCTGCCCCAGCTGCTACTTCCTCAAGATGCCCAAGTGCTACTACTTTGTCACGATTAATTAATATAAAATTATGTGAATAGAATAGAGCCCAATATTACTCTCTTGTAAATTCACCGAGCTAGCCTTGAAGGCTTTTAGCGTATGCATGCTCTGCAAAGGAGCAAAGGTCAAATTAAATCCCGTTCGTGATACTTTCCTAGGAAAGAACGCAATCTTTAAGTGATACGCTGAAATATCGACACAATTATCTTTACCATGTAAGGGTGTTATTGTTTTTGGACCAATGGCCTGTAATTATGTCCGTAACTTACCCCAGCAGTATCCTGTCAATGGCCACGTTGGTGGAAGAAGCGATGAGAAGTTTCCATGGAGCTGGCCTTGGACCCTCCGTAGCTTCGCTGCTTTCAAAGAGCTGTACGAGGAACAAGACCACAACAGAGAGCAGGTAGCTCTTGCCAGCTCCAAACACACCTGGTATTTGGGAAGAAAAATAACAAAGTTATATGGGAAATTTGTCAAGTGAGTAGCATTCTAGTACATTGTTTAACTTAGTAAATATTATGCTATGATTCCTATAAATAAGCCAAATAATTTTATGTACTTCATTCAGCAGCTCTAAGAATCCAGGGGCAATGAGTTGCCTCTCTTTCCATTTACAGCCTGCATTAAGTTTACAGAAAAATACTGAAGAGAGGCAAAGCTAAGGTGTTTTTCCTAATTTCTTACTGAATACATGCATTGCTTGCTAAGGAGTAGTATTATCAATATATTAAGATAATAGAAGTATTCGCATGCACATCCCTCACACCACGTCCTCAGGTACAGAATAAGGAATTTCAGGGATAATTAGATTTGAATGACTAATAATTTTAACTAGATTAATAAGCCTGACAGCCTAACAACAGCTCAGGCACTTGAAGTCTAGTGGTATCTGTAGTAAGAGTTTAATTGTTGTTGAAGGAATTGCTTTGACAGGACAACTTGTGTTTGTGGCAACTGCTTTTCAACAATCTTTAAAAAAATAATTTTAATTAACATGTTACTAGTCTTTCCGTTCATGTTGAAACGGGATCTGCTTTTCAACAATCTTTAAAAAAATAATTTGAATTAACATGTTAGTCTTTCCGTTCATGTTGAAACGGGACAAAACAAAGACATATAGAAGGGCAAGAAATAATGTATAACTGAAAAAAATTTCATATGATAACTTAGCAAAGCTGACACATGACAAGAAGTGGTTTTTAATATGACAACGAAGAAGCAAAAGAGACTAAGCAACTCTGATTTTGTCTATATATTTCACTAGGAAAGAAGGCAGTTTCAAGGACCAAAAGCTCCGTGCTGACCGAACTGATGAGCATCATTATCGAAGGGCCAGTCCAAAAAAGGAATTTTTAGGAAATGCATGAAGGAGGTGAGGACAGCAGCATCACAAAGAATTTGAAAAGGATATTGCATGCAGAGCAGCAGTTTATTCAGGTCCTACATTTAAAATAAAACATCTACGTAGACCTAAGAATATCCCCATAAGACAGCCTGGAATTTTGAATATATGATTAAGGATACAAGTTTGCTGTTTCACCACAGAGAAAATTTAATACTATTTCACTAATGCCAGCATCGCATATGAATTCGTATTTTTGCGAAGATACAAGAGCAACAATTTTCACAATTACTTGCCACGTACCGCGTATGATTGTGATAGGGAAGATCTGATGTTCTGCTGGTTCGCTGTTTTCAATCGAAGTCATCATCTGAGCTACCCGAATCAGTGCCGTAGCTTGGTCTGGGTTCAGCGAGAAGGTTTGGATCATCTCTTCCGCTAGTCCCATCGCCACTTGGGTGCTAAGAGGTCCGTACGTCGTCGTGCGCTTCAGGCTGATGGCAGGTGGAAGAAATTTTCTTTTGGTGACTCTTTTAGGAGCATTTTCAGAACCAAAATTCCTAAGGAAGATACAAGGGTCAAAAGCTGCAGTATAATACTGCGTACATATAATTTCTATCTCATGGTTCTGATACTTTTACTCAGGTGACATTGAAATGCTAAAGCTTTATCATTAACAGTTCACATAATTAAAAGGTGCTGCTCCTGCCTCCTGATACACAGCCAGGCTGTAGATTCCTGCCCCTTATTACCTCTCTGTGTGAAAGGTGGATCATAAGAATCAGGCTTTTGGGTTTTCTCATTTTTGATTTATGTTAACAACTTGTATCTGACTTAACCCAAGGCTGCGAGATGGACAGAATTGAAAGAAAAATGTACTCAAAGGAGTAGAAGAATATACTCAGAGGTAGCAGGGATTCAATGAATTACTTGTTTCATACAGGGAATTTTAAGTCTAGGTAAGACCCCTCTAATGCTCTGATTCTCCAAGATACTTTCTTTTCAGGTTTTGTGTCAAGCGAGAATAAAACTTGGTAAAGAAAATCAGTTCCACAGAACCCCCGGTGAAGTACATACACTCAACACAGAGCAGTCGGTGACTATCCTATCAAGTCTAATGCTCACAACAAGGCCAAACATTAATCTTCAGATTGTAAAACATGGGCTGCAGGTATTTTTCTTGGTTTATTTCTGTACCTGTTGACAAATGTATCCCTTCAACAGTGACTTACATTTTTAGGAGGTGTGGTATCAGCGGTAAGGTAGACGGATTGAAGTGCTCCTCCAGATTTCTTAAAGCCGTAAGCTCACCACTGGCATTACAAACCAGCAAGGCATGAACACACACTGGAAAGGCCACAGAAAAAACACATCAGGAAAAAGGACAGGAGCCAAAATTTCGAGTTAGGTAAAAAAGTTAATTTCCAAATGCTCAAAGACTAATTATCCTCCTGTAACAGAAACCAAGCTAACCCAATTACCAGTTATGACTGAGTATTATAGATGAGGAGATACCCATTAGTCCTTCTTTTCAAGGTGTATTATATCAAAGTATTTGTGATTCAAACATTAGGAATCTTCCGGAAAGGAAGCTTAGATAAAAATTGTTAGTCATTTTCACAGCACGCAAGAGATTTCCATAGCTTTGGAATTTAGGAGGTGCATTTTAGAAGTAAACTTTCTGTATCACAACAGCTAAGGAGATATTATTTTAAAAATGACAACACAGGAGCACATCCAGTGGACTGGACACAAGTTCCACCTATTTCCCAAGTTTTCTTTAAATACAAATAATGGTTTTGATTTTGTAACACTTAGAGACTGATGACATAACTCTATCTGTCATTAAAAATGTAGATTAATACCAAAAGTTTCCCACAAAAAAACAACCCAAATGCCCCGATTCAACAGCATCAAGGTGGAAAGCTACATGTTCACTCTCCCAGACGTGACTGCTTGAGACCCCACCCGGCAATTCATATTTGCATACGGCAATCAAAGATATTAAGCCAAAGTATATTACTACTACCTATATAATGCATTCTTAAACTCCTATAAAATAAAGAACCAAAAAACTAAAGCTTAAGCTCAGTTCCAACAGTAAAAGTAAGAAGCTTTTGCCTTGTGTTTTGCAGCACATCTGTCTTTTTTTGGTGACACCTATAGCAGACCCACACTACTGCTGCACTTAAGGCTCACTAACCTTACTGTTTCCAAAACTGTACTGACAAAACACTAATAAAATACCCCAAACAGAAGTGTTTGAAGTGAAAAGGATGGCTTACACTTGGCCAGGAGCAGCTTTTGCTAAAGACTAAAAAGGGCAGTGCTCCATTAAAAACCATCGGTTCGAGATTTAGCATTAAAACCCTAAGATGAAAAGAAGTGAAGCTAGAAAGACTTGTTTTTTCTGGATTCTCAAACACCATCGTTTTAGTCATTCCAGAATGCAGCAAAAAAAGGCACCGAAACTAACACTGTGACAGAAAAATCACAAATTTTAGACGTGGCTTTTGATATAAACATAAATTTTCTACAGTGAGTCATTTGTGATCACTGTTTGCTTTTTGAGGACAACATAGTCATGTTCCTTACACTCAATTTGCATTATATATTATATTATTCACTACATTATCATCATCTCTTCTGCACCCATTTAGAATTTCTTAACAGCTACTCAGCAGGTTTAACTACATGAAGTATCATATTCAAACTAGATATTCAAAGATACGAGGCAAAAAACACCATGAATGAAATCATAGATTAGAATTTCTCCAATCTCCTCCTTCATCGATGGCCAGATTTTACCTTCAATAGCTGTTTCTTAATGATATTGAATTATCTGGTGTAGAACTCACCATTTGATCGCCAGTTTGAGGGACTGTAGCCTTTCAGTGGCAGCAATTCTATTTCGTTGGTGGACGACGGTCCAAAGAAAGCGCTACTTGCAATGAAAGTATCGAGGGGATCAAAGTCCAGAGTCTTGGAAACAACCCAAATATCATCTATCAAAAAATAAAAAATAAAAATCAAGTTTCTTCTGCTCCCAGTTTTTTTAAGAAAATGAAGCTAGATAAAATAGCTCAGCAATTATTAAGCGGCAAATTAAAGCATCGCTAAGGTGATACTGAAAGTGTTAGTTCAGTTCTAAAGGAATAAGTAAACAATTGAAAAATTCTTCAAGTACTTTCTGTCTGAAACGGATGGTTCTCCCCTGGTGCACTTAACAGTGTCTGACTTAGGACTAAACTTGAATATTATCATCAGTTTTGCAACTATTGGGAAGAAACCACTGAAGTATACTACAAACCTAGCTAGCCACACTTTTTCCAGAAAATAAGTAGTACTGAAATAAAAGTATGTTTTCTCTTCCCTTTCAAATTCAACCTGTACTGGAGCCCGCAAATATTTTTATTTGGCACCCCCAAGGAGATTAAAGCTTCCCACACTACTCCTATGCCATGTAAAGCAGAGCTCAGCAAAGGAGATTTCAAATTTCAGATGAATAAAGATGCAGGCGTGATCAAAAATTGTTGTATGCAAGTTAAAGTTTTGTCCGTGCAGAGCTCCAGGATTTAGAAGTTACAAACTCCTGATTTGTTAGAATATTTCAGTCTTTGCACAGTTGTTTCTGTGTCATTTGTAGGATTTTAAACAGCCAAGTGAAGAAACTATCAGGATACCGGTAGCAACTCATAAATTACTCAGTTAAAATCAACTCTTAAGACTTAACTCTTAAATCAGTGAATATCCTCCAACTCTGTGACATAGCAATAATTTAGCAGAGACATGCAACAACTACATCAAGTTTTCCATAAATATTACCTTCTTAAAAACCTGGCTTTCTTCAACTTCCAAAATTCACAGATGTACAACATTCCAAATCCAAGGAATTTTTTTTTTATGGTAGTTGAACATTTATAAGAGGTACTTCGTTGCCCTTCTAGAATGAGAGCTGCATTATCGGTCTCATCAGGAGTTTAAAAGTAGGGCTCTTTTTCTTTTTAGATTACCAATGAAAACGTTAAAAAGGCACACGACATCAACAGCTCTCCTGATTTGCTTACCTTTGCTATAGAGAGAATAATGCTCCTTTTTGCTTAATTTCAGGTATAACTTGGTTTTGGAATCACCATCAAACATTGCAGGCATATGCATGAATTTCTTGAACTTGCTACACCGCTGTGTTTGAGTTTCAAAGACTTTCCTGTTAAATTATAAGAAAAAAAAAAAGCATTTAAACAAACATCACATTTTGCCATCATCACCAAACCCAAGAAAGCTCCACAGACTGGACCAAATTATAGAGCACAGATGTTGGTAATTTAAGATAATGAACCACCACCAAGTTTTAAATGTATTTATCTTCCCAGCAAAACACTTCTGTAGTTCTTGACCATAATAAAACTGTTTCCCCTACAGTTAAGCAGCACAGAAGAGCCAGTGACAAAACTAATATTCAAATTGAGATCACTAAGACATCTTAGGAAATTAACAGTAATTCCAAGATAGCTTTTGATAGTTATTTCATTAAGCAATTGATCAAATTGCTTGTAAGCAGTTCTGATTCTTGCTGACAAGCTTGCTGATCCGCAACGCCATCACTTGAAATGCTGTTACTTCATTAATTTGGCTTTTACATTTCTACAAAATAACTATAGCCTCTTGAACCACACTTCAAGCAAGTGCCTGTTCAATGCTGCTGAAATCCAGAGCTACCGGTACATTTCTAAAAGCTGCAGTTTACAAAGCACTTGTGACAAATGCGCAGCGTTTCAGAATACCTCACCAAAAGCTGGCATTCCTCATAGAGAGCAATCTTTTGACTTCTGAGGTACATCCCGATACTTTTTATATCATGAAGCACTACACTCTGTCTGGATTTTATCTGTGCTGAGTTCACATCTTCTATCCACTTGAAAAACGAGCATCGCTCAGCTTTTGGAGCATCACAGGTATAGAATAAACGACCCTAGGAAGAGACAGGAAAAAATAAATAAATAACACAAAAGCTATTAGCCCATTTAAACAAAACAATAAAAAATAACTTGAAAAAAAAGCAATGGGCCAGTACTCCCTGCTGTAGAAATAATCAGATAAACAACTGTGTTTGGCTCAAGAACAAGTGTGTGTACCAACACCTCACAAAAATCCCATATAACCTAGGATTTTATAATCTCAGGTCTTCCTCTCTACATATATAAGGTTATTTCTATATGGAGAAAACTGTCACGTCACTAATTCTGGACACTAGTAGATATTACAGCTCATCTTCAAAGTGACCTCTAATGCATCACCTTAACCTGCAACTCAAAGTCACACAGACTTGCCCTGTGATTGTTCACGCAATATGGTCTGTACACCAAATAAGCAGCCCAAAATTGTAAACAATACCTTGTTTTGCCCTTCTTTCTTCACCATAACAAGCTTAGCAGGATGACTGTGATTGCAGAGTGGCACACAGCTTTCTTCGCTCTCACGTTGCCTGTCTTTCAACGTGTAAAATGAGATATCCACTTTGGAAAGAGCATGGTGTAACCTTTGCGACGCCTCAAAGAGCATTATGTTTAATTGCTCTTGAAATAGTAAAGAGCAGCATAATTAGTACAGCCTTAAAAGAGCTACACACATACAAAACATCCAAACAAAACAATGTTCACTGAAAATTTCGAGTGTAAATGTAAACCAAAGGATTTCACCTAAGTACTAAAAGAAACCACCTGATCTGCTTAATTCCTGTATTGCACATAGTATTAACTTGTTTGAAGTGCCTTATTTGTATTCAGATCACACCCAGGTATATGACTCCAAACAATCCAAACCACAACTATTTAAAAAAAATATTAAAATACTGAATTTAGAAAGACCAGCCAACAGGAACACGGCTATGCAGTTGAACAGAAACGCACTGGTTTTCTGGTTTATCTTGGTAATTTTGGGTATAGACTTGACACGTTTCCCAATATGTATGTCTATCCAAAACCAATAGATGATGTAGATAATCTCTCCCCGTCTCATCCTGCTTGGTGAAGCTTCAGAAAGCCACTGTTCGAAATGACAGCCTTTTACCGAGCACAGTGTCAGACATACCTGTCAGAGCAGCTTTAAAAATCTGTTTGTAGTGAACGTGAGATGGAAACACAGTTGGTATGGACACCTTTCTTTTAGGAAGATGAACGTGTCTCACTTGACCCGCATTCGGAAAACACAACTCCGAAATTGTTACGCCCTAAAAAACAGAGAAATTAACCACTGAAATCTGCAAAACTCTGAACAAGACAAACTTTATTAGCTAGGTACTTCACAGATACACCAAAAGCCATCCACTTTTCCTCTACTTTGTTTTACATTTATATTTTGTGCTCTCATTAATAAGTACAACTATATTAAAAAAATAGTCAGGGCCTCATTCTGCAACCAGGAATTTCAACATGCCCAATCGATTTTTTAACACCCTATTTCTGCACAGAAATAAATCCATTGGATGAAATGAAAACAAAGGTAGGACAAGGGGAAGGAAAAACTAGACTTTGGTTTGAGAGCTTTGAGGAAAGTCTGTACACCACAAGCTATCCATACACCTGCCATCCTGGCTAGTCCTGCAGAGCTTCTTCCACCTGTCTACACTGCAGCAAGCACCACAGTAACTCAATTTTTTAAGAATCCAGTATATATGGATTATATGTAAACACACACCAAGTGTATACCAGTACATACATGAAATACAGTAGGTACTTGCAAACCTTTAATTCACATGAACCATTCACTCCACAAAGAGTTAAAGAACAAGAAAACGCAGTGCGCTAAACTAGCATCAAGAAAAAAAATAACATCTTCAAGAACTCACAAAATCATTTTACACTTTTAAATTGTGACTTGTGGTTGATTCCTTTTATTTTTTCCTCCAATTTTTACCCATTTGTGTACAATAGTCTACTGGTCACCAACAGCTGCGATAATTTTTATACACTTACTGAATGCCATATCTTGCTTCTCCACAACTAAAACTGAAGAATTCTTAATATTTATCAGAAATTATGCATAAAAGCAAGATACGAGTGTCCATTAGAATGATGCTGATACCACAGTTAGGAAAAGTCCTTCTTGAAAACTCATTCTCACCTATTACAGATGACAAAAGAGCCCAACAACTTTTATTTCAACTTTCTGCCATGAACATTCAGACTAAAAATTCTAGATGTGGCACAGCGTGCGCTAAGTAACACCATTCACAAAGCATTAGCCACAACACTTCAAAAATATATTAGCAGCTGCTATTCTGTAGCTGAGGCTCTTGTGTTACTACAGACGTAGAAACGTTTCCCCCAACCATACTGATAATATCTCACAGGAAATCCAATAAAAGGAGTTACTTTGTCCAGAAAACAAAGTGTTACTGTCACTTATAATTGTATTTGCTTGACAAGTTACACACCTGGCCGTCTCCTGTCACAGTGTGGCAGCTCAGATGACTTAACACCTTTTGTGTTGCTTCAGCCAAAGGTGTCCAACTCGAGCGCAGAGAAAAGAGCTTCCTCTCCGAAATGGAACCTAGGGCGCTCGTATTTGCACGGCAGCTCCCAAGAGCCGCAGAGCCAGGAGCACCGGGACTCCCAGCATCGCTCTCTCCCGTGTCGCTTGGCAGCATTTCAAGGTCTGTCTCAGCAGAGATGTCATCGGCCACTTCCCCATCTTCGCTGTTCCGAGTTATCAAGTCACCCTGAGCACTGTTTTGATATTTTAGCCATTTGCTTTGTCTACGTTGCAAAGTCACCTCAGCAAGCACGGGTTGTAAATATTCCTTTTGTCTGTCTCCTGTGTACTCTCCCAACACAGAGGTGTCATAATTTCTTCCCTCCAGTCCAAAAGCACTAACAGGAAATACCACTGTTTCATCACCTAAACGGACTCGCGAAGAGCCAAAAGACTGCTGGAACTTCTCGCTGTCAGTTGGATCAACCGAGTCAGGAATCTTCTCAGCAGCAGGCCGAGTGACAAACGGAGTTCGTGTTTTCAACGCAGGTTTGAATCTTGAGAGGCTGCATTCCTCTGGATAGCTGGACCTGTCCTGTGCTGTAAGGCAAATATATCTTTCAAACAACTTGTATGGGCGGCACAATCACTTGTGACTTACAAAACTCTAAGATAAGGAAAGAATCCTAACTTCTTTATGCACCCTGTCCTCTAATTAGGAAGCTCTTTGTGCCCTGCCTGTGCAGTACCACACTAAATTTCCTTATGACAAGAGTGATTCCTACTGCAATTTTTGCACTACTTAAATCCCTGTATTGAGAACAAGTTTCTGTAGACACTCTACTCGCATAAAATCAAGTGTTTGGTAGAAATTTTTGAAAATTTTCTTGTGTTTTGGAGGTCATTAATCTCATTCTTGGTAGGTCAGTGAGAGCTGCCAACAGGAAAATGAATAGTTGAGCATTTGCTCCTTTTTCCACAAGGATCACATACAAAACTGTGTAAATTAATGCTGCCCAATGTAGATAAATAGGCTTCTAGTACCCCAAACATTCTTTTGACTAAATTCATGATCAGTAAGAAATTGATAGTGTCAGCTGGAAGTGGGTCAGAGTGCAGGGGAATACAGAAGAAAACTAAAAGCAGGTAAATAAATCAAAATTTCACTAAGAATTAGAAGCTTAGCTTACAGCCCTTATTTCTTCCCCAAATAGAAGCTGACCTCTTACAAAATTAAACCACTCTTCACAAGTCTCTTCTAGGAGAATATAACGGGGTGGGGAGCGCATGGAACTCAAGGCTAACTAGACAGTGTTTACCAAATCAACTGAAAGTTGTCCTTGAAAAAAAAAAGGTAGCAAAAAACAGATGACAAATGTGACAAATCCAACTCTGCAGTTACCCAGACATCTCAGCACAACTCAGGGCCAACAGTAACTGTCTCGTGTAGTGCAACTCATTGTGCTTCCAAAATCCTCACGCTTTTTCTAGGCAAAAATTACAATTTCTTACCGTAACAAACTTCTGAAAGGTCTGGTCCAGTTGGCAAGATTCTGTGTATGAGGAGTTCCTGGATGTCTCCAGTAGTTTCCTCACTGCCTGAAGCTGGAGAGTTTTCAGAGTGGGGATCAAATGAAGAAGTGGGTTCTACTGACGAAATCGCCTACAGATGAGGAATTAACATGTCAAGTGAATGACTGGGAAAAAAACCAAAATTATAGTTCTTTTGTCACTACTCTCTCTCATCATTTTGAATAACTGCACTGTCTCTCTGAGCTGAGATAAACCAGTTTCAGAAATAAGAAATTGCTACCATGAACACACAGAAAAGATGTAGAAGCAACAGTCAATTCGTACCTGGCCAGGTTCCCATGAAGTCCACTGCATTTCTCTCAAACCAAGATGTGAAGGTGAGCCTGGCACTGACCACGGGGAAACTTCAGGAGACACGTTCAATGCCAAGGCTAGGAAAAAAAAAATACCCGAAGGACAGAAGTCATGCAGAATAATTCTTCCAAGGCCAATGGCTCCCATTCTACTTTTAATTCTCACTTACAGGAGTGATCTCTTGACTCTTTAACAAGGTTCAACTGCTGCTGAAGATTTTCATCTCTGATAAAGTCAATATCATCCTCAGGAAGATTTCTTGAATCTGGAGACTTAAATGAAAAAGCGGAAGCAAAAATTTGTTAGAAATGAAACTACTTATCTACTATTTATCTCTATACAAATGCTGTCCTAGTATGAATCTTAGAACTAGGTATCTTGTTTCTCCATCTTATTTCTAGATATAATTCTTCAGTATCTTTAGCCTATTTTTGAAGTAAAAAATTGAGGTATAATTTTTCTTCCATTACTTTGAATACTGAAACCTATACTGCATTATAAGAAAATTTTTTTATTCAACATTGCATGTCATCTTTCTTGGTATCATCACAGAATCATCATCCTTTAGATGCTCTAGAACTCGTAATAAATTTCAAAACCAGCTACGGTGAATATCATACTGTTAACACCAGAAAACATCATTTTAAAAGGCACATTTCTCTAGAAGAAATTTATCTAATATCACAACTTTATGACCATGTACTTTTTTTAAGTGAAACGGATCAGAGGGGAAAAAAAATTACAACTTGGCAAATGCCTACTCCTAGAAAAAAGGTGAGCAAAAATTATCTAACTGCAAAGCTCAAACCGCAAAGCTCTAGGTTCAGTTCTCAGTGCGTTTGATGACTGTAGTATTCTAAACATGAATTCTATCCTGCATTTATGAGATTCTTTCTTGCACTAAGTTTAGTAAGAATAATGGTGAAACAAATGGTTTTACCTGTCTGAACTCAGAAAGGACACAATCGCTTGAAAATAGGGATGAGAAAAATCCCTGGGCTGCAAACTCTGTATTTTCTGGGTAGTGCTGCCATCCCAGCTGGGAGCAGGGAGCTCTCAACGTGATCTCACTAGACGCTGATCCCTTTACTGGGTACCCTTGAAATGCAACAGGCTACACAATAGATGGGAATTATTAACTGAAAGTAAGTACCGCTCCGGAACTATCTGCAGGCAATAAAGGCACTTCTCAAACACAGGACAGAAACTAGCTGTTGGAAAACACGCAAGAGAGGAAAAGAAAAAAAATCTAGGATGTCCTCTCTTGCCCTTGCACTCCTGCAGCTCAACAGCACTGAAGCACCAGTCTCTGCCAACACAAACTCCATACTCAGATGTAGTATGTTTGGTTTTCTTTTTGTATTGTAAAATTTGAGTTTCAATCTCTGAGTGGAAAACTTCCCACAGACAAACGTACTGCAAAGTAGAGTCCATTACGAGACTAGTTAAATATTTATTATGAGGGTTTTTGGTAATCTCCTGCAAACAGGAAGCCACTGAATTGCTATGTAAGAAGCACTTCTGATTATACTTCAGTTCCACAATAATAGTACCTTGGGCTGGCAGTCAGGTGTCCTAGGTTCTCTGAGGGTCGCTGCTGTTGGTTCAATACATGCATCTGCTTTCTGGAATACATTGTCCACACAGTTGGGCTGCATATAAAAATATCAAAAGCTATGAAGTCTACACCTCTAATACTCCTTTCAAGTGAAAAGTTAAGCTAAAAAAATCACTTGTCTTTATACAAGAGAAAGCATTTTAAAATCACAGCCTTTCTATTTGGAAGGCAGAACAATGCCTGATAGATAAGAAATTAGGGTTGCTTTTCGCATGGGCCAGGAAAAGCCACAGAAAATCTAAAATCTTGCTTTCACTTTGGACAGATTGAAAAAGACTATTTAATAACATTGGACAAATACCAATGCGGAGCATCAAGCACCAACAGATTTCACAGTATGTTGCAACCTCAGTGCTACAATTCCTAGGAAAGCCGTGTATTCAAGAAGACAGAAAAAACAAATGGTAAGAGAAGATGGGGTAGGACTAGACATCCTACTGTGATCTTAAATGTAACTAAATAATTCAATTTACATTAAGTTATTGTTAAATATCAGGCCTCCTGGACATCTGCTTACTATCAGTTTCTTAGCTGATGTCCCAGTAATTTCTAGCTCAACCCCTCTAGTTACATAAACCAAGAATTTTATTCAAGGAGCCTGATAGAAAATGAATTTACATTGCACAGATAAATATACAGAGCCAAGAATTAGTTACCATAAGGCGAGAAGAATCAAAGTATGAACAGGAAGATGCCTGTATACTTTCTGAGTAAGGCATTTCTGTAAACTGTTCTATCGCTACAAGACATGGAAAAGCATAATAAGTTATAATACTCCTGTAAAACGAGAACATCTGAACATTTATTGAGCTTGCAAACTTTATCCATACAAATAATTGCAGATAGTATTTAACTGAACTAAAGAAAACAGTCTGGGAGCCCACAGATTTGGTTTAAACATGAAAAACTACAAGTGGGAACCTTCTTAACACTTTACTTCAAACAGATGATTTTGATTATGAATTGTCCAGGAAGAGAGAGATAACAGTACAGAAGTCAAAGAGGTACAATGGCACAGAATTCACTGTAAAATAGAAGCTGACCTAACCTTCATCTTTCCCCAGGGGTTCAAATATCTCTTTCAAAGTCTCTTCTTCGTATAAACTGCTATTATTTTCCTCCATCTTTTGTAAGCTTTCTAATGCTGTGCTATGTTGAGTCAATGCTCTCAGAAGACTGATATTTTTTACCAAATCGGGAAGGTTTGATGAATTTTCAGCCACTGCCATGCATTTTAGGCAAGCCATTCCTATTCTTTCTCCTTGGCAGGCTTCAGGAAAACCATTTACGCTCTCTACGCTCTCCAACTCAGTTTCCTCCGGACACGAAGGATTGATGGAAACTCTGGAAATATCTTCCTTAGGTGAAGTGCTACACACCTTTTGACGGCCTTCTGCAATAGGTTGCAATTCTCCACAGCTGGGGTCCCATTTTTGTGACCAAGCCAGCAAAGGACTACTTGGTTTAGAGTCACCACTCTCACTACCGCAGGCGTGTTCTAAATCAACTTCTTGGGATTTCATGCATCCAAACTGTCCAATATCTTCTTCGATCTTTTTGTCCATTGTGGGAATTATTTGGCTGGCAGAAATACAAGAAATATTTCCCATTTCCTCAAACATGCTAGTTTTAGGGTGACATTCAGCAATATTTGTGTCACCAGGCAAAAGATCAGAGTGCTTGCCAGTAATGCCATACGCCGCACAGGCATCAAGATCCTTATTTGTGGCTTCAATACTTAATTGACTTAGACTGACCTCTTGGATGTTGTATTCGTCAACCACAGGTTCCACTTCAGTTCTAGGCTGGTTTGCACAATCTTCTGCCATTTGCTCTGTATTTATGACCTTGCTGTCACAAAGCTGAGAAAATCTAACACCGGTGTGGAGACTTATATCACCCTCTAGATCACTCACTGAAAATCTGATTCCTTCATTTTTACTGTGAGTTACTACTTCTTCTCCCTTTAAGCAACCTGGGATTTGTGAAAGCGCATCTCCTTCAGTGAGCTTATTCACATCCCTTTCACATGGGTCTTCATTGCTCATGTCATTAAAATCAAAAGCCTCCACTAGATTAAAGTTAACCTGCATCACCTCTTCATCCAGACCACAGTCCTTTCCATGCATACCTAATTCCTCCTGCATAATCCCAATTTTAGACAAGGTTACATCCACAGAGAGCTCAAGATCTCCAGGCTCTCCTTGCAAATTCTGTCCAGGCTGAAGTTCACTTTGTAACCTCACAGAGGAATTCTCTTTAGGATCATCAGTCACTGAATAACCCCTGGATGCAAAATGATTTTTTTCCAAGGTGACTGGACTTGGTAGACATGAAACATTACCTGAGGATGGAACAAACCAACTGTCACCCGTTCCATTTACAGTGGATAGAGGTAGGAAGCAAATACTTGGATTGCAGGAATCTTGTAAATCTTGACTTAAATGATTTACCTTTTTGACACGTCTCTGTCTGGTGACTTCTGCACAAGGTTGTTCAGGTGAATTGAGTATTTGGGCATTCCACTCGTGATCATTTACAGTTTTCATTGGAAAAGGCAAGTGCTGAGTATTTTGACCGAACCTTTTGGCAGGGTTGCCTGAAAGAGCAGCTAAGACCGTGCTTTTTTGGTTATATAAATCATCCGTGTTTTCTGATGCCTGAAACCCAGAAACACATCCTGTGACTCCAGACGTGGTTTGCTCTCTGCATCCTTCTGCTGGTTTAGATTTCAGAAGAGCTATTATTTGTTCTGTGCTCCTCATGTTCTGTGACACTGCTCTGTGACCAGCTGCTTGATTACTAGATTTGGGATGTGCAGTCGTTAGAGAAGACTCAGCCTTCACAACCGACTGACCCGAGTTTTGCTTCTCTGTGTCCTCCCATCTGTCAAGAAACTGAGGTGAAAGCAGTGAGGACAGGGATAGCTGTTCTCTATCGTGATCCACACACGCATCTTCACGAAAGTCTGCAGATAGGTTTGTTTCTGCATCCTTCTTACAAATCGTAGAAAATAACGGAGAAGTAATATAAAACTTGGATGGAAAAGGACTCTGACATTGCTTAGAAAATGGCAATATCGTTGTGTTTTCCCCATTTTCCATTGCTGGTGTTTTCTTTTCCACTTGCCGGGGCACTTGAAAACCCTAAAAGTGAAATTTTAAATTAATTCCACCGAGAAATTAAGTTCAGATTTTGCAATCAAATAGGGCACACACCGTAAAAAGCATTCTGATGAAGCAGCACATGATGATTCCAGAAGCATACAGCAATTATCTCAAGCTCACGTGACTTTTACCACAGGCTTAGCAATAATAATCCTACACCAAGTAGATTTAGTAAACTGCAGGAAAAAATAACTACTGATAACACATTCTGCCTTACAGCTCCAAAATACCAAAAAGACATTATCTATATATTTATCACTCATTAAAAGATGAGAATCTTGTGTTTTAAGAATCATATTAAATCAGACACAACTTTTGAAATAAAGACGTACTGTAAACTTCCTTTTCAAGCCAACAGGCAGACGTCTCGGAGGCAGAACACCAGGTTTTACACCATTTCCATCCACTGCTGGAGTTTCTGTTTTTCTGGGCTGATCTTCAAAAGATTTTTCATTCACCTTCACTGCTTCAATTGCGATCAAATATCGTTCACTCTCTAAATTATCTCCAGCATTCACCTAGAAAAGAGAAAGCAGCGGTGAGTACCTAATAGTGCTATGCAAGAAAACAAATATCTTGTGAATAAAGCCCTCTAAATATTTATAGGCAAAAATTTTAGAAATTCACATCCAGTGTATCACAGCTGCCATACACATATTTATATTAAAAGATACACATACTAAAAAGTATTACCACTTCAAATTATTTTTATTTAATACTTCACTTTTACCCAAAAAGATAGAAATGCACCTGGAAATGTTCTGGAACAGCAGTAAGACCTATCAATAAACAGAAGCTATTTTCACTTCCCCTTATTTGCATTGCAGCCAACTCCCACATCCACAATAAGAAAAACCACCTTAGTTAACAAGCAAGTTTGAAATGTTTCCTCAAGCACAAACCATAATTAAGCACAAATATGAAAAACTTGCAACAACATACCTGAGATTTTATAAAAATACTCTCCAAACACTGTCCTTTATCATCAAGTAAGACAGCCTGCAACAAGAAAACAGAATCTTGAATAACTAAATGTTTCAAAGATGAAATAGATTGCCACTCTCAGTCCAGCAGTCACAGATAATATTAAATCCAACAGTATTAAAACGGAGTTGTTCACCTGATTTCTGCCAGTTCTAATCCTTAGAATTCCATCTTGCCATGTTTTTGATTTCTTCGTTTTTTGGTGAGTGTATAAAACCTGTTTTAAAGGTGCAAAACGCATAAATTAATAAGAAAATATTTAAATACAGCAGCTATAGTGTCTTTTATTTCTATTAAACAGCACATAGTGCTAAAAATGACTTACAGTAAATTCTTGAGAAGTCATTGCTTCAGTCAAACGTTCACGCAGCAGCTTATTTCACAAATATCCACATCTTCATAGAGTCTAAGAGACAGGGAAATGTTCAGAATCCACTGAAGTTGTGAAGGAAACGTAATAACAAAATAACGGATGTCAGTTCACTTGTTATGACTAAAAATAAATGAAGAGGGCTAGATGCAAGACATCAAAAGTGGTGTATAGCTGATTTGGGTATTTTACAGAGAAACTCTGAAAATAATCTAACCGAAAAGCTGCCAGTAAAAATGTTGGGGTTTTGTTTTCTGAATTTTTTTTTATGGATGCCAGCATATTTTCTAAATTTCAGAGGAATTACTTAAGTGAATGTCTGGCAATTATAAAAATACTCTGAAAATAATCTAACCGAAAAGCTGCCAGTAAAAATGTTGGGGTTTTGTTTTCTGAATTTTTTTTTTATGGATGTCAGCACATTTTCTAAATTTTGGAGAAATTACTTAAGTGAATGTCTGGCAACTATAAAAATTCCAGTGATGATACTACTTGAACTACCAAATTATTCTAAACACCTTTACTTACAGCAAAAAAAATAGAAGCTATTTACAAGAGGATTCTGTCGCAAGTTTGCAATAGGTCATGCATGCTTAATTCATGTTAAAGATAACCAACTCTCAAAAGCAGTAGCCCATGAAGTCAAGTCTTGTCACATATTTAAAGACAGATCAAAGTAACTTCCAAAACCACCTTTCATGGTGAAATCAGGAAAAAAAAAATCATTGTAAAATCAACACATTTGCCAAAGCTGTGACTTATTGCTGCACATGTTGGTTTATAATATTTGATTAGTACTGCAATTTGTGTCAGGGTTTCTAAAGCTGCATTTATAATCTTAATTTAATCTTTTAACAGCACCACAATGGAGACTATAACAGGCTAGTTAAGATAGTCACCTCCTCTTATCCTGCGCAGTAGCAAGAAATAGTTTATATTAAGGAGCCCGAGTAATTCATGATGTAAGAAACATTACAGCTGCCACCTTTTTAGCAGTTATGGTGTTGAGTAAGGTGGGAAACCTAGGAAATGGGCACCCCTAAAGGGCATGAAATTACCATCAAAAGCAGCTGGACAACGACAAAGACTCACTAGAACTCAATATGAAATGCCACTGAATAAGCATGCCACTAGAATATATTCGTATCTGTTAAGTTCCCTTTTCCCCATATGGCCAAGACAGGCCCAGTAACCCCATTTCAGCCCATGAGCAATAAAGTTTTTTCTTCAGAATGGTGATATTTGAGCTAAGGGTGCCCCTGACATATAGAAGGGTCAAAAAGTCATTCTTTAGGGACAGCCATGGTCATGAGCCCATCCCTCCCTTTGAAAGTCCCAAAACACAAGCCACTTCTAAGGCCCTTGTCTCAACTCTATAAGACAGACTCTTTATCTCAGGGTCTCAGTTGACCCCCCAGCCTTATAAACCCCCTCACTCCCACCCTGTGGGCTTTCCCTCCATCTAAGAGGGCAAAAATACATCAGTCCCCAAGGGCTGACCCCAAGATCCGTCTCTCGGTTTGCAGAGCCTAGAGAACACCTCACTGCTGTAAATCCCCTTCACCCCAACATTTCTCCCTCTATCTGAAGAGAGTAACAAACACTACGGCCTTGCAAGCCCTCTTCATCCACACCTTTGGCAGTTTTCCCTCCATCTGAGAGACCAAACAAAAACCTCATCCCTATGAGCCCCTCTATCCCCATCCCTGGGAGCTATTCCTCTGTCTGAGGAGCCAACACAAACTCTCATGCCTGGGAGCCTCCCTCAACACGACAGTTTTCCCTCCATCTGAGGCGGCTAACACACACCGCAGCTTTGTTACCTCCCCTCAGCCCCACCCCGAGGACTGCCTCTCCATTTCAACACCCAAAAATACCCGATATCTATGAAAATCACCCGCTCCCGACCTCTCGGAATCTTCCTTCTACCTTAGGAGCACAAAAGACCCCTTACACCTGTGAGCCCCCTTCCCCCCTCCGTACGAAAACGGGACTAAAACACACCCTGGCCTTACCAGCCTCCCTCACCTCCTCCCACGGAAGCCCTTCTCTCTCTAAGGGACCAAA